AAAAAAATAAGAAAGAAACAGAAGCAAAGAATGAAGAGGATAAGAAAAGAAATAAGAAAGATAAGAAGAAGAAAGGAGAATATTCACGGTGGTGGGCTGTTTGTGGGCGGGGTGGGGGGGTGGGGGGGGGGGGGGCCTCCCACACCCCTCTTGGGTTTATTCTCCCGCCCTCCAACCCCTCTCTTGGGTTTTCCGGCTCAACGCCGCGCCCCGCGGTCGGTGCAAGCAGGGAATGTTCCCGCTGCTGCTCTGCTGCAGCCTCGAGTCGCGGTGCGGCCTCCGCACTCTCGGCGTTCGCCTCTCGCCCTGCTGCAGCATCCGTTCCCATCTCTGGCTGCCGTTCGCCGAGCGCCTCCTCAAAGCATGCGAGAATCTCGTCGCTCTGAAGGTCAGCCTCGAGCACGTCGTCGGCAGCGCGGATGCTCGCCCGGCCGGTCGGCCCTCGAGACCTCGCAGTGGCGGCCGCCTCTGACAGCGGCGGCAGCCTCCCAAGCTGGCCACGCATCATGCTGCGCTTCGCGGCAATCGCGTAACGGGAGGCTCGCTGGGTTTTTGTGGCTTTTTGGACGGCTTTTTTGGATTCTCCCGCCCTCCAACCCCTCTCTTGGGTTTTTTCAGAGCTCCACAAGAATCATACGTCATACCTCCGCATGCCGCTGGGCCACCGCCGCCCTAGCCACCGCACCCCTTGCAGCACTCCTCGTTGCAGCACTTGCACTCGTGGCAGGTGAGCCGGCCTTCGCCGCTCGCCGCCTTGCTCCGCTCGAGGTTGGCCTGCTTGCTCCACATGGACGCGTACAGCCCGCCCGCCTCGAGCAGCGCCTCGTGCGTCCCCCGCTCTGCGGCGACGCCGCCCTTGAGCACGAGGATCTCGTCGACGTTGACGATCGTCGACAGCCGGTGGGCGATCGCGAGCGTGCAGCGGCCGGCCGCCGCCGCGTCGAGCGCGTCCTGCACCTCGCGCTCCGTCTCGGTGTCGAGGGCGCTCGTCGCCTCGTCGAGCACGAGCACGGAGGGCTCCCGCAGCAGCGCGCGCGCGATGCCGAGCCGCTGCTTCTCGCCGCCCGAGAGGCGGAGGCCGCGCTCGCCGACCGCCGTGTCGAGCCCCTTCTCGAGCCGCGCGAGGTACGAGTCGACCCGCGCGAGAGCGCACGCCGCCTGGATCTGCGCGTCGGTCGCGTCCGGCGCGCCGTAGACGAGGTTGGTGCGCACGCTCGCGT